TGCGGAGGCGCGATGGGGCAGGCCCAGCTGCTGTGGCTCGCCTGGGTGGCGGTGTGGCTGCCGGGAGGCGAAGCCAAGACGATCCGAGGCGGTCTCTCCAGCGCCGCCGCCAAGACTCGGGCTGGCCAGGCGCTGGCGCGGTTCCAGTTCCATGGTAAGGAAAGGGGCTTGGTCCCCGGGTGCAAGGTGTGTCCCCCTCCCCGGGGTGAGCCCCCAGGGCGGCCTGACCGAGCTTCCTGGGCCAGAGCCGCCTTTGATTTGGCAGCCTTAGGGAAGGCAGCCCCTGCGCGTGGTTACTCCGAAGTAAGAGCCGCCCCCCCCCTCCCGTTGTGCACTAGCCATCATCCTCCGGACTGGGGCGAGTGTTCCTTAGCCTTCCTTCGGAAGATCTCGAGGCGGAGGAAAGGTTAGAAACTCACAGAGGCTCCTCGGGTGACTCCTCTCCTCCGTCAAGCCATGAATCGTCCCCACCAGACACTTTTCTCTTCTGATCTGCAGTTGCCCCGATTCGGTCTCCCTGTGCCCGAGCCCTTGAGACGTGGCTGCGGGGCGGTCCCTTGGCAAGGAAGGAGTTAATTGATGGGCTGTAGTCAATCCGCTAAATGTGAGCAAAGATGTGTCTCAGTTGAGCTGTAGTTTTATCATGGGGTGGGTTTATTAATTATTGGCTTTTGTTTATGATTCACATTTAGCAATACTGTAGTTGTCACCTTGGACCTGTATTGGTTAGACTGAGGAAATTGCAGTTTTTCTGGAAACACACTCACATCTGTTATGGAAATGGCTGGGAACCCAGCGCTTGTATCTGTGACTCGCAAAGTGCATGTGTCTCCCTTCATCTGGCAAAAGTCTATCTTTCTTGACAGCTCACGCTGTAATAAATTCATTTGTGTTACTGGTGTGGCAAGGCTCTTTGTTGTTTTTACCAAAATGTGTGATCTTTATGCTTTGGACACTAGCTGCTGCAATCTTCTGTGTGTTCCATTCTGATGACTGGTCTCAGAAGTAGTAAATCATGGGGAAAAGGCATGGCAGTTTTAGAAAATTGGATGGCAGCGACAGTGTTCACTCTTCTGTGAGATAGTCCCAATGGTGAAAGAAAAGAAAAATTGTATTGTCCTAAGATGGCACCTGCTGGTGATGTTTTGCATTGATTTCTTATATTAAAAATAACCAGAATAATACTATGTGTTTTTAAAAATTGTTGGGTTTATTAATTAATGAGGCAGTGCCTTTTTTTCAGCTGGTTATTCTGATAGCCAAAGGGCAAGCAAATGACTAAGAATTAATTTGGACCTCATTCCCTGGCCCTGTTCTCTGTTGCATTTGGTTAGGCCTGGCCTAGGTGCTGCTCATCATCGGGAATATAAGTCTGTAAAAGATATTTCCCAGTGGAAAAAATCATCTGCCGGTAACCAGGCATTCAGACTGAAGAGGAAGTTATGCTTCTGTATGAGAAGACTGGGGAGGATGACTGTCATTGGCCAGTGATGAGACTCCATGTTAAAAGACACATCTGCCATCACAGACATCTTTCTAGGTATCACTTTTCTTATGTTTGTTTGTTTTCCCTATCTAACAGAATGTGATTTCTTTTTAAATATCAAGGTGATTCTGCTCTCCTGTATCTCAGAATCAACAATGTAGCAACAGCTGCAGGAAAAGAAGCTAAGCTTCACCTGTTTCAAGCTCAGGAATGGCTAAAACTACAAGCAAGCTCTCAGGAATACAGCTGTAAAGACAAATGGTCCAAAGCTCAGTTGATAAGTGAGTATGAGATGCTGGATGTGTAAATGTGTTGAGATGCTTCATAGCCTTTTAAATAGATCAGCTGATTGCCTATGAATAGGTTTAAAAATTTTAAAAAGTTCAACAGCCCCATTGTATTTAGTGTATTCTGGCCCCAAGTCATGGGAATTGCAACAAAGGTACCCCATATAACTTTTAGTCACCCAAGTCATGGTTACCTTATATAGCATCCTTTCCTAATCTGATGCTGTCCAAATGTGCTCAAACATAGCTTGATCACCCAAACATATTTTGGCTGTAGTTGATGAGATCTAGAGAATACTGGGGTGGAAAAGCTTGTCCTATAGTCTTGCATGCTATACTTGTTATAAGTTGGCCTCTGTGTCTTTGCTCTTGCCTCAGGTCTTTCAAGCTAATTTTCCTGTATAGTAGGCCATGGTTATAGGCAGCCTCCTGCTACAGTGAACACAAGAATGTGAATAGGAGGGCTTTGCAAACAGCAAAATGTATGCCTCAGGACATTGAAAATGGATGTGCCCAGTGAAACAGGTGCAGCAGCTTGTGTTTACCCTTTGCAGAAATATACATTGCTACAGGCTACCATTCTGAGAATGGCTACTTTGCTTTGGGGAAATATCAGTATTTGCATGATTATGCCTTAGGAGAGAAAGTTTTTTTGAAGTTGAAAAAAATGTAGTGGCTTGGATCTTAAGAGTGGTATATAGTTTATTGTTTGGATAGCTTTTAGCATGGTTTGGTTTGAATCAAATTACAGCTTCTACACATGTTTTGACTGAGAGTGCTTCATCCCATCCCTTTTTAGAGCTCTCCTGCTCCTTTCTGACAGAGCCCAAGGGCTTCGGGTTTTTTTGTTTTGTTGGCTGTTCCTAATCATCCCATTTTGTAGCCTGTGCAGATGGTTGGTTCACACTCGAAGGGAGCTGTGGTGTTATCTGAGGTGACAACCTTATAATGTATTAAGGGAATGTTACATTTTAATGGATGATGGGAAACCCATTTCATTTTCTCTACCACTGTATTTTAAAAAAATATTTCCCTATTGATGCAGTGATATTCTAGATAAGCGAGATACATTGTTGGTATTATGAGTACCATGCTAGGTAGATGCATTGTTGTTTTGCTATGTCAGTTTATTTACCCGAAAACTAGGGAAAGTCACTGTGGCCCACTGAATGACAACTGTGAGTAAGGGGCTATGTGGGGCTCCCAAATTCATTGACAGATGACAGCATCTTGCCCTTGTGAGGTGGGGGGTCAGGAAATGTGTGGAAAGTAAATAAAAGCAACTGCTGGGAAAATGAGCAGGATACTAGTTTTCCTCAACCACAGAAACACAAACACTTTTCTGAAGAACAAAGCACCTATCTTTGGGTTGCCTGCTCAGAATTTTAGTGGAGCTACCACTATTTCCTCACTGCCATCTCAGAGAGAGTGGCCAGCTGACTCCATGCCATTCACTACCACAAGGCAGTGTAGCCACAGTAAAACCCCAGCTGGGAAGAAAATGAGAGTTACCTCCCTTCTGTCTACCCAGTCTTCTCTCCTTGTGCCAGTTGAGCCTCTCCAAGCTTGCCATGCAACCACTGTTGCTGTCTTACTCATGAGTGATCCGAATATCTTTCTGTACTCTCAGGACAATAGAAATCTTCAGTGTGAATGCAAGGATCACTCAAGTGCTAGACAAGATTAGGTGCACTGAAAAGAAGAACCTTGTAAGCGGGAACGAGACTGCTTGAATTTCTGCCATCTGGACAAGCCCTAAGTCACCCTAAGAAAAACCTACTGCCCTGTCTCTGTCTCCTACAGCCACTTTCAGTATCCCAAAAGCCTCTCTTGGGGCATCTGAATAATATGGGAAAGGGTATTGAATGAAGGCTGCAACCTGTTATGTACTGGTCTGGGAGTGAGTCCTATCAGGACCAGTGGGAATTGCTTCTTAATTATGTAAACAGACAAGTGTGTTACCTTGTCTTTGGAGTCAAGCTGGTATCAGCATTTACTCTACTAAAAGTAAGCAGTGCAGTGATTGCCTTTGAACGAAGTCCTACTGATATACTGTATAGATATAGTTACCAATATTGATATGTCACATACTTCAATGCTTGTAAATTATAAGGGTTTGTCTAATTTTAATTGCTTTTAATATATGATGCTTCAGTCAATGTGTTTCATGTATCTGATTTTTTTAAAAAACAATTCAACTCATGGTTATCTTGCTTGGGCCATATTTCTGAGAAGAAAAATCAAACAAATAATCCTAAATTCACTTCTCTGCAAGCAAGTCCCAGCAAAAGTCTCAGTGGATGTGACCGGCACTGCATATTATGATTCTTTCCTTTTTCTGAAGTGATATTCTAGGAAAATAAGTCAGTTGTATCAAGTTGCTTCAAGCACCCCCTCTTTCCTTTTGCATTATAGGCTTATTGAAAATAAGCCAAGAATTCATACCTTAAAATTCAATATTTCCTCTAGGAAAAACAAGTATTTGAAGTACAAAAATAATGAAGATTCCTTTACAATTATTATCTAAGCGGGGCTAATCATAATCATTCTTACTTTATGTATTGATTAAACAAAAATGTTTCAGAAGAGTATGAATATCCATAATTAATGGTGAAAAGGAAGGAAACAGTATTAATTTGCTGTTATGTGTTGAGGACTTACTTGAGCACATGTAATTGAAGATATATTTTCTTTCTTAATTTACTTCCAAGTTATACGTAATGAAGCAGCTGAATAGACTCTACCATAAAGCTGTAGAGGTTGGATTGCATAGAGATACAGAAAGTTGCCATGGTTTGTACTTAGTAATTTGGGAAAGTCAAGTATGGCCACTTGATTGGAGACTAGGGATTGTAGTCTGGAAAAGTAACCTTCAGTTTATGTTCGGCATTATCTAATTGGATTGGCAGCGACTCTCCAGGATTTCAAGCCATACTTTTACTATATCAGGGATTGCACTTGGGGTTAGCATATGTTAGTTGGCTTGGTTTTTGTATATTTTGTAATATTTGGTTTGAACTACATATTGTGTTAACATTCAATTGTAACATAGTGTTTTAAAATCCCATTGGCTACAGAGTAAGTTAAACACATACTTTGTCACATTAAAATTACTGGCATTGAAAAGCTTGAGATGGATTATGCAATATAATTGGTAAAGACTAGTCTCACATTTAAAATCTAACACAACTCATGATCACAAGTTGAATAATATCTACTCTGTCTGCATGCACTCCTGAAAATTAGGGTCAATTTAAGAGCTTTCTTGTTTGTGGATATGGCAAAAACACATGCATTCTCTCACTAGATGTAAAGCTGAAAAATTTATTTCTTGTTGGTATTTTCCCCCCTGAAACAAAAGCATGTTTGAATGGACTAATTGTGGTCTTTCTTTTTGAAGTGAACATGAACAGCACTGAACAGAATTTGACGCTCTCCCAGGTTCCCTATCCAGACACATGGTATGTGTTCTATGTCGACAAGTTTACCTGTGTGGAGAATTATGAGAACTCTGAATCCGAGGATGTTCAGTTTGAACTGGTGTTGCTAAACCCTGATGCGGAAGGGAATCCATTAGATCACTTTAGTGCAGGGGAATCGGGTAAGATGTTTTTCTTGACACTAGGGGTCGAGGGAACTGTCAAGTATGGGAGGATGACACTAACATTCTGAAGTATTTCCTCTTTTAGAAAGTGTTTTATTTGGCAGGGAGCACTTGAGAGTGTGTTTCTTTTGATACCCACTGTTCTAAAGCAAAGACAAGCCTTACTTGCTTGGAAAAGGGAAATATGATGCCTTTGGGATGCTTGATTGCTTAAATTATTAATCTATATAAATTTTCCCTCTCCTCTTTGCAGTCATAGACAGATATCGCCAATGTCTGTTTAGTTTATGCAACTGTTTGAAGAGAGAGAATTCCTCAATTAATAAATAAATATATTTAACTCCACACTTGACCGCGCTGGTTTGGGCTCATTTAAGTTAGAATGCCTTGGACTACAGTTCTTATGAGCCCAAGCCAACATGGCCAGTGATTATAGTTTTGAGAGTTGTAATCTGGATTCTAACTACTTTATAATACAGTGGTGCCCCGCATAGCGACGTTAATCCGTTCCAGGAAAAACGTCGCTATCCGGAAACATCGCTATACGGAATAGAAAACCCCATAGGAACACATTAAACTCCATTTAATGCATTCCTATGGGGGGTAAACTCACTGCTAAGCAGGAATCCTCCATAGGGCCGCCATTTTCGCCGCCTCGGTAAGCGAGGAATCGGCGCGAAAACGCTGCTGGCGGCCATTTTCTTCATCTGGCGGCCATCTGGCAGAATCATTTAATTAATTAATTGTTATAAATTTTTCTTGAACTTGTTATCCTTTATGTTGTAAGCCGCCTAGAGTGGTTGAAATGACTAGATAGGCGGGTTATAAATACAATAAATAACTACATAAAATAAATTTTGGAACCGCCGATCAGCTGTGCGAAAATGGTGCCTTTGGGAGGGCCGTCCTTCCGAAGCACCCACCGGTCAACAGGGGGAGAATGGGGCCTATGGGGAAAAATCACAAAGCGATTTTTCCCCATAGGGAACATCGCAATGCGGTCGCTTTTGCGATCGCAAAATCCGCATCACGATGCAGATTCGTCGTTAAACGGGGCACCCGTTAAGGGAGGCACCACTGTATTAATCAATTTTAGGGTTAAGTCAGTAGGCCCTAGTTGCTAATATGTACGGCATCCTTTTACCATCTTCTAACATAACTCTGACATAAATAATTTTATTTTTGTTGAATGTATTGAAATCTCAGTTTAAAGAAAGATGAAAAAGTATTTTTGTTGTGGCAACAGAATCAAGACTGTTTGGAATCCTGTTGCTTTGCATAACAAATGACATAACTGTCACTGTTTCCTAGCCAGCAAGTAAAGAATCGCAGCTGAGCTTCTCAAACACATACCAACCCTTGGAATTAACAATGGCAGCTGTTTACCTGCTGGCTAAAAGAAGGGAAAAGTTGAACTTTTTGTTATGCAGAGCTATAGGATTTCAGCCACAAGAAAGGAAGATACTTGGATTTAAAAAACAGAGGAGCCCAACTCCTTTAATTTTAATGTGACACAGGATTGGGTGAAGTACTTAGAACATGAGCATCATGCCTTCCAAAAATAAAAATTGTGTTGTGCTTTTAAGTGGCATACTGTATAGACTTGTGGTTATTGTTGCTTTTTGAATGTGGCAGCAGTGACACCAAGTGGTGAGATAGCTACATCACAGGTATTTCCTGCTGGATTTCTCAGGTTGTATTAAAGTAAAATGTGAACAAATAAAGTATTTCAATGTAAAGCACAAATGGAAGCTCGTTTGTGCAGTGTGGAAGACAGGTTTCTGAGGCATACCCAGGATAATGTTTGAGAGAACGAATCATTTTTCTGGTAAAAACAGAAGCCTGCCTTTTCATACACTGTCATTGCCATGAAGACCTGCAGCAAGCTTGCTGTTAACATGACTTCTTCATATGAGAAGAACAGGGTATATGAGAAGACCTTTGCAGTGCAATCTTCGGCATGAAATGTTTTCTTTTAACTGAAAGTTATGAGTGTTTGAAGTAGTAATATTATCCGGTTATATCTTAATGCAGTCTCAGAAATTAGCTAGCCATAATGTTCTTAAAGGCAAAACAGGAGAGCTTAAGTTGGGCATAAACAGTATAATGTCATATCATCATTTAAGAACTGTTAGACTACTCTGGAGGCGTATGTATTGGCACAGTGCTTGTTAAAGTGATGACAGAAGTTGGATTTTCTTGGATGTACAGATAATGCATAATGTTCAGCTGATTTAATTATGTACTCTAGCCAAAATCTAGTTTTTAGTCCCAGTTAAAGCAGACCCACTGAATCAATGGGAAAGTGATAAATCAATATTGGTATAAATTTCACTGTTTCAATAAGTCTTTGTTAGTTTAGATAAGTTCTTATGTTGGATTAGGCCTGTATAAACACATATTAGTTATGCACCTGCTATGTACAGTGGTGCCTCGCATAACGAGCGCACCGTTTAACGATGAATCCGCATAGCGATGCGGATTTTGTGATCGCTAATGAGACCGCATACCGATGTTTGAATAGGGCAAAAATCGCTTTGCGACGATCGGTAAGTGTTTCGCTTACCGATCTTCGCATTGCGATGTCGGGGGAACCGCTGATCGGCGGTTCCAAAATGGCCACCAGAACACCCAAAATGGCCATGCGCAGCGTTTTCGCGCCCTGCCCTCGCTTACCGAGGGCGCAAAAATGGTGGCCGGATGGGGAAGCTTCGCTCAACTGTGAGTTTGGGCCACGTTCCAATGGGCTTTTCCGTTCCGTTTAGCGATGTTTCCCCATAGCAAAGGTTAATCCGGAACGGATGTGGTGGGGCACCACTGTATCTGGGTCTTTAGAAACTATGTCCTCCACACTAGTTAGACATGCATTACTAACTGCTTTGGAAACCCTTTTAGTGCCAGCACAGGCCACGACAGAATAAAGTGGCTTTTCCCCCCAGTGACACCTCAGCTTTGGAGGTTTTTCCTCAGAGGGCTCCTCTGACATTAAATTTGCTATCTTTTCTGACCTGCTAAAGACGTTGGATATTTCTTTTCCTAACCTGAGTTATCTGTTCTTAATTGGGATTCTTCATTGAGTTTCTCAGTTTGATTCTTAATTTAAATTATTGAATTTGACTTATCTGGCTGTGTTTTGCTGTGCAGTTAGGTCCAGAAATAATTGGACTCTGACACAGTTTACATAATCCAGGCTCTGTAAACCACCACAATGGATTTGAAATGAAACAACTGAGGTGAAATTGAAGTGCAGCCTTTTAGCTATAATTCAAGGGGTTGAACAAAACTATCATATGAAATGTTTAGGAATTGTAGCAAATTTAATACACTGTCCACTTATTTCAAGGGTTCAAATGTAATTGGATAAATTAACACAATCATAAATAAAATGTTCATTTTTAATACTTTGTCAAGAGTCCTTTGCAGGCAATGACTGCTTGAAGTCTACAACACATGGGTATCACCAAACACTGGGTTTCCCCCTTTGTGGTGCTTTGCCAGGCCTTTACTGCAGCTGTCTTCAGTTGTAGTTTGTTTGTGGGTCTTTCTGCCTTAAGTTTTCTCTTCAGCAAGTGGAATGCATGCTTGATTGGGTTGAGATCAGGTGACTGACTTGGCCATTGCAGAACATTCCACTTCTTTGCCTTAAAAAAACCCCTGGGTTGCTTTTGCAGTATGTTTTGGGTCACTGTCCATCTGTAAAGCGAAGCTGTTTTGGTAAACAGCTGAAATAACAGAACTTGTGTTGGTGTTCAATTATTTCTAGCCCTAACTGTACATTCATTAGGTTATTTATCTATATTGGAAGACATTCTGGAAACAGCTCTTATTTTCATTGGAGAATAGGGTATAAAATATCTAAATAAATGAGTGTGTGTGGTAACAGGCTTCTTCTCTTCACAGGTCTACATGAGTTCTTCTTCCTACTTGTCCTGGCATACTTCATCACTGCTTGCATATATGCTCAGTCCTTGTGGCAAACCATTCAGAAAAGAGGACCAATGCACACAGTGTTAAAGGTGCTGTCAACCTTTTTGCTCTTGCAAGCAGCTTCAGCTTTTGCAAACTACATGCATTTTTCAAGGTAACTCTTAAATCCCATTGTCAGGTGGCTGTTCTGCACTCACACCAGTGTTCATGAAACCTAGTTGATCTGCTTCTTCAAGTGGCCACAACTATCGGAGAGCTTTAAAAAGTTAGTTTCTGGACTACAGTGCCTGGAATCCCCCAGTCAGTGTTACCTGTGGCTGGGGGAATCTGGGAGATATAATTCAGAAATATGGTCATTAGGAAACACAAATCTACTTCATTCTTCTGTTATATCCCATCTTAATCTGTTTTAAAAGGCCAAGGTGTTCAGGATTGAAGCTGAAATCTTCTCTTTGCAATCTTAGCGCTTTGCTGCTAAGCCACATGTTCCCTCTCGAAGGTGGCCAGCGCTCTTCCACCCCTTTCAGGGAAGAAAATGGAGAAAGCAGTGTGTCATTACTCAGTCCTGCTGTTACAGTTGCTCGTCTGCTGTGCAGAGGTGGGGACTGTGTGCAACCTAAGACAGCTAGGTGTCTTACAGAGTACAAATGTTATCTGCATTTTCTGCGGTGATGTGGAAATGTTTCCTGCAGGAGTATGGAAGATGTACAAATATGGAAATGTGTCTTTGAGCCTCAGTTGTGTTTGGCTCTCAGAGTGGGATATGATGCATTCTTCCCACTTTTGCCACAGGAAATGCCAACAGATGTGCATCAGTTGCCTCATAAAATACATGCCATCCTCAAAAGATGCTTATCCAACATCCTTTAACACAGATTAAGAAGGGATATAACAGTTGAATGAAGTAGATCTATGCTTTCTAATGCAATTTAATGCTAAGAACAGTTCACCAAAAGGGGCCTTTAGTTATTTCCCAGTATAAAACCTAAATATATATTGCTAATCATCCTTCCTTTTTTTAACCTATACTTCCCCAGCTCAGCTTCTATTCAGATAGTTTTATTAATCCTTTATAAATCCTGTTCATCGCATTCTAAGTTTCTGCATTTTGCTCTTCCTCTTAAGAATGCACAAGCAGTATGGGTTGGTGTGGTAATATTGCTTCTTTGCTCTGTTTTATTTCCTTACCTTTTTTATGTAAGGAGTGGATACATTAATTGAATGTAAATGATTACTTAGAAATACAGACTTAAATTTAAATATTAAATTTAAATAAATAGCAGACTTAAATTTAAATATTCAATTTAATTAAAAAATTAATAGTCTGTAATGTAAGAATGAGTATGTAAGGGAAGGGAGGAAGTCAAACTGGGGCAAAGGGAGTCTTCAGTGGCATTTGTTTACTATGCAGCAGTCCTTGTTAGGTACTAGGTATGCTTTTTTTTGGCCATCGCCCTTTTAGGACCTCTTCTCAGGTTCCAGGGGGTCATGTTAAGCAAGGATACGAATGAACAGATGAATAGAAAAAATGAATTTTAAAATGTTTAGGCTGTAACCTGCTTCAAATGTGCCAGGACCGTATGGCCCCTATTGAGAATGGCGTATCTATAAGAATAGCATAATTTTGTAGCATCTATAGGTGAAAAATGCACAGATACAGAAACATGTGACTGTTTTTCCTTCATGTTTCATTTGTGTGTGGGATCTTGTTTTTGGAATGGTTTATTCTCAAAATACTTAAACCCTGACACAAATGTCTTAATGTATCCAGTGATAAATGTTGATTGTAATTGTACTGTACGGACAATGAAGAGTTTTCAAAATGAACTTTTAAAAAAAAAATAACACTAAAGTCTAGGGTGACTTGTCAATTTTTTTGTTATTCTGTGTTAATAGTTACGCTAAAAATGGAATAGGAGCACCTTTTATGGGGACCCTTGCAGAGTGTAAGTATGTTTTTATTTTGAATGGATTATAACAGGGGTCTCCAAAAATTTGACCATGAGGGACAAACTGGATATTTTCAACATTTTTGAGGGCCGAAGGAACAGGTATGTGTGCATGTGCGCACACAGCCCTCCCCTCCGCCCACACACATGCGCACACAACCCCCTGCACGGACACCTCCCCCCCCACATGTGCATGAGCTGAAGGGAACAGGCTAGATAAAATGGCCCGTGGCCTGCAGGCTGTAGTTTGGAGACCCCTGGATTGTAAGTATAAACAAGGGCCTGAGAAGCTCGTTGTACAAATATTAGTATATTCCGTATACTGGCTGAATCTGCTGGAGAACCACAACTGATTTAATTATGGAATGCAGGCCAGGATCCTGTTGAAATAATCACGTGTGATGTTAAACACACAAGTAGTTTGCTCCATATGGTAACTGTTTGCACAATTAGCATTCCATACATGGATATTTCAATAGGATTCTGCCCAGTTTTTAAGCTCAACGCCAAGCTTGTTCTTCATGGACTTGCTTTTCCTGTCTGCGACTGACAGAGTTTATTAGTTAAAAATATTATGTTTGTTCCAAATAGTGCCAACAGTGCAGTCCTTTGTGAGTCTACTTAGAAATAAGCCCCACTATGTGCAGTGCATAGGGCTTGGTCTACATAAGCAATTACAAATGATTGCTGTAATATGTTAAGACATTACTCAAATTCATTTTCCTGTAAGTGGAGGGAGCGGGGCTTAATAGATTGACTTCATCTGTTACTAGAGCCTGTCAGTCAGATGCAGTTCAGTCCACACCCCCAGCCCCCCTTTTACTGGTAACTGCCCTCCTACCAATTCCTGACTTTCCTTTTATGGTCTGCTGCCAAACTGCTGGGATTGTTCAAAGGGTTACATGGCAGTAGGGCAAAAGAATCATTTTTCCAAAATTCTCCATACACATGCAAACATATACACATGCAATGGAAACATTGTAGGCTGCTGGAGTTAGTTTAAGTTTTTTGATTTTATAGCTGTTTTTATCATTGTGTGTGTGCATGCGTATGCAGAGGTCACCTAACACTAAATTAATGTAAGCATTGCGATGATCAGATGATCTAGCACTAGATTTAATAGTTTGTTTTTTTAAAATAAACAAAAAATACTTTGTGGCAACTAGAGAGAGAAATTATGAGCAAGAGTGGCTATCCCAAAACATCACACCCCAACTTACTGTGTCACCAGAAAGCCATCGAAAGTCATGCCCCTTCCTATCCTTTTGTAGAATGAAACAAATGGTCACACAGGCAGAACATTGTTCACATTGCTGTGGTTAGAAAAAAAGTTGACGCTCTCAGGAGCAAAGAAAAAAAGTCGAGATAGGAAAGAGTTAAAAAAGAGGCTAGTCTACATTGACCTTGCATTGTGTGATAATTGAAAAATACTTCAAATTCACCCATGCCAATTGCAGAGTATTTTCCAGTGTAGTTGCATGCTCAGTTGTAGAGTAGTGACGTGGGGATAAGAGTGTCTGTATGCTTATGATGAAAGAACAGGATAACCTCAAGCACTAGTTCAGCCCAGGAATCTGTTTTGGGAGAAGAACTGTTCTGTTTGTCTCTTCTCACATACACTCACTTCTGTCCCCCCTTCCTAGTGTTCTTTGTTACAGTGGCCCAAGTTAGGGCTTTCCACAAAAAAGAGTTATACGAGTCTTTTCTAGTTGTTCTAGAGGAATTTCCTTTAGATTCATGCATTCCTCTGCTTACTTTCTTTTAGCAAAAGCTTGTTAAAATTTGGCTGTTCCAATTGAAGACGTCATGTCAGGAATCCATTTTCTTAAATGGATTAAAGCTTTCTTTTAACTTTTTTCCTAGCACACTGTATGGAATCTGTTACTCAGCATATGGTTCAGAGCTGGAGAAAAACTCTACACTATTGCAAAACTAAATTATGGGCACTTTGTATTTCCAGGAGATTGCAGTGATTTGTGAAAAGAACAGCCTGCACAAGCACTCTTGTGCTGAAACTGCTGTTTCATCACAACTGTACCTCCAGCCCGAGTTGCTGATAAAATATTTTGCCCCTAGCTATTAGGACTGTGGCCTAGGGGGTTTCAACTTCAGTGATCCAGATTTTTGTCTTCCTCTTATTTATCTCTTTCCCTGCTTTTCCTGATAAAGAGTTCAGAAGAACTCAGAAGGCTTATCCATTGTATCATGATGCTTTGTTGATCATAATGGCAATATTACCCAGCACTGGATTTCAAGATATTTTTTCCCTTGCGAACTACTAGATCTTATTTTATTATGCTTGTGCAGCAAGCAAATGTAAGATGTGCCTAACGTTACTGGGATTCTCTTGTAAGATGCACCATTTTTAAAACAAATATGGGCTTTCCTAAAAATATGGACTGCACAGGATAGATTCATTCCTTGTGAGAGAGAAGGTTTTGTTCCTCCACATTTCAGCAATACCTCTGTTGTTTTTGTAATATTCTTTGTGGTGCTAGTGGGACTGCTTGAAAAATGTATTTTCCAAAGGCCCAAATCCAGTTGCTCATCCCAGTTAGAACAGACCCATTGAATTGCTAAAAGGTGAGCCAACACTTATATAAATCCCATTGATTCAATACATCTATGGCTGGGACTACCAGTTGCATCTAGGCCAAAGACTAGGCCCTCCTACAAACTTTTCCTCCAGCTACAGGACTAACCTTCCCTTTTTCGTTTGATCAGTGCAGTAGCAGCATCAATAGAGCTGTAGTCTAACAATGCACAACCTCCAAATTAAGGGTTCCGTATAGCACAACAAGGACCTATGAGTGATACCTCCCTGATCCCTGCCACTTGATTCTTCCCCTGCCACTCCCTCTCATTTCATACAGATTTCTCTTTGGCACTAGAGAATGGGGACAAAGAAAAGGCTTTCTTGCTCGCTTCCAGCAAGGAGAGAGGATCACTGAAAACAATACCCCTCCAGAAAGGACGTTCTGCAGATGAGCAGCTCAGAAATTTGCCTGTAACTCTAAGAAGAAGCCATGTGTACAGGAGTAGCAATACTGGGGCACCAAGGGACAAAACAGTATTAAGTTTGAACGTAGCAAAAGTATTGGAAAGGAACTGATTTAGTGGCTTATTACAGCTGATTATATTGAAGAAGTTACAACAGGGATACTAATTTCACTTATGCGTGCCTGATGAACCAGTGCCCTTTACAAGGCAAGTTTGTACAGTAATTGTTGTTCGTAATGCCATAATTCATATAATTTATTTGTGTCAACACTCTTGTTCTTCCTGTTTAGTGTGTGACATAATCTCTCAGATGCAGATGCTGTACCTACTGCTGAGTTTGTGTATGGGATGGACACTAGGCAAAATGAAGAAATCTCAGAGCAAACCTCTCCAGTGGGATTCTACTCCAACATCCACTGCCATTGCGGTCATTGTGGTTGTGACACAGGTCTGTTCTAGCACTGCACAGTCTATTTACTGCAGATGTGGTAGACCGATAATTAGCAGGAGCGAATATAAAAAACCCACCTTGTTCTTAATGATCTTGTTGAAAAGAAGCGACATGCTGTGCGGGCTGCATCCCTGTTCCTTGATCTGCCTTTTGGCTGACCAGGAGCACCTCTGTCTTGTCTGGATTAAGTTTAAGTTTATTCACCCTCATCCAGTCCATTACTGACACCAGAAAGTGATCTAGAGCCAAAATAGCTTCCTCAGATTTAAATGGAAAGGAAAGAGAGGCAGTTAACAAGAATGTATCTTTGGAGAGACATAACCTGAGAACTGTAAAAATATTTTACCTACTACACTGTGTATTAGGATATATAGAATGATTAATAAGTCCATTTGTACAGAAGCCTGTAGAATCTCATAATACTGAGAGCATAATAAAATAACTGATGAACCCTATTTACAAAACTTTTTTTAAAAAGTGTATGGATATATTGTCTTGAAATGTCAAAATTAGAATTTACAATCTCTATTCCATAATAAGATCTTTGATCTATACTATATTTTAAATTAAAACCATCATCACATTTTTAAAAAAAATTATCACAACACTGGTAGAAAAGATAGAATTGTTACAGTTCCAAAGAGTGTCCACACATGAATGTAATATGCTGGTGAAATATTAACTAATGCTTCAGCTTGTAGTATTTTAAAGATTTGATGAGAGCCTGTATAAAAGATTCTCCGTGTAGTAAAATGTATCTGTGGGTAACAGAAAGAGGTGTCTTAAAGAGGGCATACATTGGTCAGCTATGTTATATGAGTGAACATTCAGCATTCAAACTAACTGTAGCTCTCAATGAGTTCCCTTTTTGAAAACTTCATGGTGAAAAGTGTGTCTAATCTAGTGTATGTATATTAGCAGCACCCATTATGAGAATGAACTGCTCATGCTACTATGTTCAGTCATGATCTTTTTAAAAATACAATTAAAGTACAAAGGGTATATCTATATATCAGTATATAATACATTATTCAATATTTCTGTGGGAAGATTTCTTTTCCATAACTTGTTATACACATAGATCAGAGATGCTGTAAGATTCTGATAGCATTAGTCCAAAACAGTAACTTTTTCAACTCTCAGTTCTAACTGTACATTTGTAATTAAACATTAATGATGTAACCTGCCACTCGGCTCAGGCACAGTTATTTAAGGCAAACAGACTTTGCTCACATTAGTCCAAAATACAGTGGAACCTCTACTTACAAACTTAATCCGTCCCAGAAGATGTTTGTTAGTTGAAATGTTTGTAAGTAGAATCTCCATTTCCCATAGGAATGCATTGAAAACCGATTACAGTGGTGCCTCGCTTAACGGGTGCCCCATTTAACGACAAATCCGCATACCAATGCGGATTTTGGGATCGCAAAAGCGATCGCATTGCGATGTTGCTTATGGGGAAAAATTGCTGCGATGGCGGCAATCGAGGTGGCAGGGGACCCCCAGGAAGCCTCTGAAGGTGACAATCGTGGCAGTGCGGGACCCCCGGGAGGCTGAGCCTCTCTTTTCCTAACCATTGGGCAAAAGCCTCTTCGCCACCAACAGTTAGCAAATTTCAATTTTCCGCCCTTTTCCCCTGCCTTTTTTCGTTCGTATCTTGAAGCTGTGTTTGCAAGTAGAAGCAAAATTTTGCTAATGCCTCTGTTCGTAAGTTGGATCGTTCATAGGTAGGGACGTTTGTAAGTAGAGGTTCCACTGTAGTGTCTAAAGGACAGGAAATGTGAATCAAACTTCTGGCCACATTGATTCTTAAAAGGTACCACATCTTTTTGCCTAAAATCTGGTTTATTGGAAACATTTATTGAATGAGTTCTACTCCCCACTCCCTCCTGTTTTCCTTTAGGTCAGCAGTGTATGGCCATCATGTTTGTGTTGTATATGTAGGCATTAGCTTCATTCTAAATATGTTGCTTGTGTTTTGCAGAGTATTTTACTAATTTGGGAGCAGTTTGAAGATACTGAACATCACAATTATCACTCTCACCAAAGTGTAGCAGGTGGACTGCTCATTGGCTTGAGAATTTGCCTAGCTTTGTCATTAGGCTGTGGCCTTTATCAAATAATTCGAACTGAGAGAAGTACACTGAAAAGAGAATTCTATATCACCTTCACCAAGGTATGCAAATTGGATGGACTGTTAATATAGTTTTTTGGGGTATATATCTGCTAGAATCCAGAAGGAAAATGTGAGTTTAACAGTGCTCCTAGGCATATTTATTAAGTTAAGTCACATTGCGTTCAGTGAGGCTTCCAGGTAAAGTCTGTCTAACATCTTAGCCCTAATGAATATGATGATGATTACATTGAAACACGTTCCAATTTCCAATCAAAATTTAACTGAGAAAGAGATGTAGCTATATTAGTCTGTTTCAG